ACGCCAGGCCTCCCAACACTTTGTCCTATCCACTGAATCAACCTCTCTTTCTCTCTTACTGGCTGCAAAGCACTTGGCAACTCTCTGGCAGCTTTCCAAAACTGTCATGAAAAGTTGCTGGCCCAGGCACAAAATCTACATGCCCATCCTTATATTATGGCAATGAAAATATCGCTAGTTGACTTACCCCCACCCCTCCCAACTGAATGGATAGAGAAAATTTCGCCAGACTAATGTAGGTGACAATAATCGTGGTATTTCGGACAGCTGAATGGATATATGCAGCTTGTACCACATGCAAAATATTGGGCCCAAGTCATGGCCAGGCGTTTCCTCAGACACTTCAAACTGCACAAGCCCATCTAAATCTTGATCGACTCACCAGCATTTGGCACAGGAGCATGCCTGCATTTAGTTTTTTGTCTCCCCCTGGTTATTTATCCCACCCAAGTCATTCCTGGTGTGATGATGGAAGAGGTGGAAGGTGAACGCGCAGAAAAAAACATTTCTCGTTGCATAAAGCATCCTACAGTAGAGCACACGGCCTGGGTTTAAAAGCACACTGACTCAATGTAGGAAGACTATTCACCCAGATTTATTAGGGTGCTTGGGCTTATTGTTTTTAGGAGACACCTGACTGAGTGACACCGGCCCTTTGGCATGTGTCATGCTCCGGCGGGGAGCAGACGGTCTCATCAGGCATGAGGGGCTGTGTGCCGGCTCCATGCGATGCTAGTTTCTCTCCATGGTCCTGAAGACTTAAGCTGGCAAATCTTCAGCACCTGCCCTGATGGGGCTGTGGGCGGTTGTGTTCCTGAGGTTTGCCCAGCTTCATTTGAACCCTTCATGTCAGCCAGGTGTAGTCACTCCTGTATCACTCAGCTATTTCCAGAGGATGCTACTGCTTGCTATTCTTCACCAAACCCCGTCTCAATTTCCAAATATAAATCAGCTAGAACAGAGACAGATGGGGGGGGAAATAGCTTTCAGGCTATTTTTTGTCAGTAGGAATTTTTAGGACCAAGACTGGCAACAATGGATGTGATACTTGCTTTAGCGCCTCCAGCCCCACCTCTCTTCACCTTAGTAACCATTGTTTCAGCAATGAGAAACAAATCTGCTTCGCACCACAATGCTTTTACCTTGAGTCAGTGTTTTGCTTTTATAGGATTTCTACAGCAGAGATTTATTTCCGATTCAAGCAGAGCCTTTAAAAAAAAAACAACCCTTTCCCTCCCCGCCCAAACCTCTAGTGCTGTTTAGGTGAAATAGTTTAATATTCTGAAATTTTCACTGGCGCCACAATGAGGCACTGTGCGAATACTTGAACGCAGTGGGACAACTCATGTCCTTAAAGCCAGGCCCACGATACTGTCCCTTGCCCTGCACTTTTAACAGGTGTCTGATCACTGGCTCCATCAACCGTAACACCAAGGCAGAACAGAGCCAACCCAAATTCACCACTGTGTTAATCCATTTTTATGGTGGTATAACTCCCCTAAAATCAATGGAGTGATACTGGTGTTAATCTGGATGGAGGGAGCATCTAGTTCAGTAAATCAGAATTTGATATAAAGCACACTAGTAAATCCAGCGTTCAAGGCCTGTTTATGTGTAAGGTATGCGTTTATCAATGGGGAGGAGATGGTGTGAAAGGTTGAAGGGGGAGAAGTATTTGCCAAGTAGGATCTGTGGGGGTCCTGGGAGTTTGCACATTGTGCGAGGAACTTAGTATGCATCAGGTATAAGGTTGGTGAGTGTGTGTGTTTGGTGCAGGGTCGGGGGTGTATAACTGCACCAGGGGAGCACAGAAGAAGGTGTCTTTGCCACCTGTGACAGGTGACTATTTGAGGACACACAAGATGTGCTTATGTGCGGGGTTCTGTGTGTTTATGAGACAGTTCTGCTGCAGGGATGCATGAGTGGCTGTCTTGGGGCTTGGCAGGTGTGCATTAGAGTCAGGGACAGTGCGAGAATTTGTAGGGGTTGCGGGGACTATGTGGCTGTGTGGGTAGGTGAGCACGGGGGTGAGGATGTGTCTCTGTGTGCATGGTGATGAGTGTGTCTGTGTGGGAGGTGTGAGAATCTGCAATCTGCATATGGGGGATGAGTGTGCATGTTTGTGTGTGTATGACAGGTGTGAGCCCATTACATGCGATGTGGTGGGGGATGAGTGTGCATGTTTGTGTGTGCATGACAGGTGTGAGCACTTTACATGTGATGTGGTAGGGTGAAAGGGTCTGAGCAGGACAGAAAGAGAGGCTGGCAGAAACAAAGCTGACTTCATTGCCTTCCATATCCTGGCCCCAAGCTAAAATGTACAATACATCTGTGCTTTATTCATGCAAAATACTGTTTCCCCAAGTCAGCGCTGGCAGTGATTGCTGGAGTTCTGAGACTTTGCTGATGCTGTGCTGCTTTTCTAGCAATCGTGCAAGGAAAAGTAGAATTAGAGTCAAAACCTTTAATGCACTAGCAGCCTGCTTTCTGAACGCTGCTACATGGGCAGTGACCCGTCTTTTAGCACCACTTGATGTGCTAAAAAAACTCAGGGGACTGACGTTTATTGTCCACGGCAAGTGGCAGATGATGGGACAAGGATTCTAATACACCACAAAGTGACAAAGCTAATCACTGGGATAGATTAATGACATGCACCAGATTTCCAATAGTTGCCTCTTTCTCCTAGTAGCTGCACAGAGATTCATTCAGTCTAATTACTGCATCCAGACTCTGTTATCCAAACGCATGAGGTTTATTAGGATTTAGTATCAAGGAGCTAGGAGCTAGGAGCTGCCCAGCTCAGGCGTTTTCACCCAGACTGAGTGGAGACATCCATTTGGGAAAGGGCCACAGCCTAGAGAGCCCGGCACTGAGTTCATCTGAGTGCAGTTGTACTTGGGCAGAGTCATCCCAAGGTGAGCATCAGAATGAGACATGACGATGGCTTGGGGGATGAAGGGAATGAAGACAGGCCTGCAAAATGCACATTGCGTACTTCCCACTTGCTGTTGGCAATCACAGGCCTACCCATAGCTACCATTTTACACATTTAATATAAACCTTTCCCTATCTTTGTGACTGTTCATCTGGTCTTGGAGGGAACAGCCCTGCTGAAGACGGCATCGTTTTTCCTGCCCCTAGCTCTTCTTAACATTAGATTTTTATTTTAAATGGCACACACTGGAAAGCAAGAGCAGCCTGACTAGATGGGGGGAAAGGTTTATTTCTGGTAGGTTCTTAGGGACTGTGGATTGCTTGGCTCTGTTACCCAGACTTCCCAGAGAACTGCTTTGCTGCAATTAGACACAAGTATGAACTGCTGGTGACAGTACGTTTGTGCCTGTGTATGCATGCATGCATACCCTATCAGCCTTGCAACATGTATTGCACAGAGCCTAGGAGTTTGTTGAGACTTGGGAAGTCCGACTTGTGTCTGTCTTTACTTAAAATGCAATTGTCAGGGCTCTAGATGTCCACAGAGGAACTGAAAGGCAGTAATACAGTGAAGAGCATACCAAATTTCTCAGGATCCAGCCCTAATATTTTATATGCATATGCAAAAAAAAAAACAACCCAATTTTTCTTCAGCCCTAGTTTATTCTGAACAGAAGACTGCAGCTATCTAAAGAGTCCTTCAAAACACAAATCATCACAGATTTAAAATGGGCTCCCAAATCTTTTTGTCCAGTTATGTGAAGCCAAATATTGCAACTATATTTTCTTTTGGGAGAAGCTTACCACTGCAAAATTATTGTGAAGAAGGGATTGATTGATTTCTCATTTAAGGCAAAAAAAAAAAAAAAGCCAAGTGCAGTTTCAGGTACTATTAATCTTGCCTTCTTATTTTAAAACCAGGCAGTACACTGTATTTTCCACATCTTTGAAAAAGGACTGTTCTTCCCAGCTTGCAGGAAGACAGGGATGTGTCTCATAAACACTGCAATTTTCTCAACCCAAGAGTTCTGGAAAATGACAACATCCAGAGGAACGAGCCAGTTTTGATGATGATACATACATAAAAACAGCGGGCCACCATCATTAATTCCCACTGGCTTCTGCCAGGTAGGCCTGATTCTTATTATGATGGCAATTTAAAAGGAAAGAGCCACTGAAATGAGAGAGAATGATACAGCCACTTCCAGCAGAAGTGCAGCTGTTTTTCCAAGCCAGGCCCTAGAAGCTCGTTAGTCTGGCAATTTTTGATCATTCTCGTTTTGATTTAATCCTGCTTTCCCCTCAACATCTTAATAAGCCATGTTGACTGCACAGAACAGCTCCTCCTATGCCTCTGAGCCTCTACTGTATGAATTAAGCGGTGAAATCGGAGTGCAGAAGCTTGCTGGAATTAAAGTCTTTCACCTGGGATTTTCAAGCGAGCCAAGTGCGGGGCCGTGTTTGGAGGGGACTGGAAGGTGATACCAGACTTGCCCAGAGCTGTTTCCTAGAGCTGGTCTTTCAAGGGGCTGTGTAACGCTTCCCAGCGCAGTCCCCTCTCCGACCCAGGGTGGCTTTGGACACTTGGTGGCAATCCTACAGGTTATAATGGTGCGTCCACAACTGTGAATCCCATGTGCAACTTGGCCTAGCTGCTTTCAACTTGCCTACACTGCCTCCTACCCCTCCCCGACCCCCCTGCGTTAGATTTGTGTGTCCCTCTGGTTCAGGCGCGCACGCGTCGCACACATGTACACCCCTCTCTGAAAAGCCCCTGCTAATCTGGCAAGGGAAAACATGTCAGAGCCCCACCGAACATATGGGGCTACCTGTAGCAAACGGTTGTGTGCTAATGCCATGCTGGGCTGGCTTCCTAAATCCTGCAGGAAATTGGTATGATTATCGCACACTCCCAACAAGCAGGCTGCAAACTCGGAGAGTTGAGCCCAGACAAAGGGGCAGGCTTGGAGGGAGGGATTTCTCCCGGCCTCTCATCCCCCCCCCCCCATATTCCTCCATTTCACACACTGATCAAGCTGAAATGAGATTAATGCAGCACTTACCTCCATCCGAGTAGGTCTCTGTGCCGTAGCCGTCCTGTAATCCATTGCTCCAGGTGCCTTCATATTTGGCCCCGTTGCCGGTGCATTCTCGGAGCCCGTACCGTCCCTTAAATCCATGGGTCCACTCTCCTTTGTACACCCACTTCCCCTTGCTCTCCACGCCAATGCCATGGCGCTTGCCCTGCGCCCAGGTGCCCTGGTAAGTGTTGCCACTGGGCCAGGTGTAGACCCCCAGCACCTCAAAGCCGTGACTCCAGGATCCTGAATACTCGCCTTGACCCTTCGGGCCAGTACAGATTCCATGGCCGTGAGCCTTTCCGTCCTCCCATCCTCCACAGTAAGACCCTCCATCGTCAAAATTAAACCTTCCCCCACTGGACATGCATGTAATTCGGTTTGCAAATCCCCCAAAAGATGAACCAAAAAAAAAAACCAAACACAGCAGCAAAATAAAAACTGCACCAGGATTGGAAGAAAAACAAAATAAAGC